CTTACTTACTATCCTTCATGCTGTCAATTCCGACCTGGTCCTGAACCTAGGTCGGTATGTGCATTAGTTTTTAGGGAGTTTTTGTACCAAGACATTTCTTATTAAGATGTTCCATTACTCCCCTTTGGCTTACAGTCTGTACCCAGTGCCTCCCTGTGTCCTTCCATGCCTGACCTAACTTACACAATTATCAATATGGCTTCTTTCTTGGCTCCTGTGTTACTGAACCAAAGTCTTGCTCACTGGATTGCAGGCCTGTTGCTGTTTCCATGTTGCAGGCCTCTATTTAGGCCTGCTGACTCCATATTACTGACCCTCAACTTACTGCAGTTGAAGAATCTACTCCGTCCATTCCCTCCTGCCATAGACCACTTGGACCAGTGTTTCTTAAACTTTTTAATACCGAGGAACACCAAATAATATTTTTTTTGAGGGACACCAAGGTCACCTGGCCCTTTAAGGGCGGCCATTTTGAACTCTTGTTCTCCGGGGCACACCGGTACGCCACGAAACACAGTTTAAGAAACACTGACCTGGGCTAACGGGGGACAGTGTTATTCTCTCCTTTGAGAGTGCCAGAGATTCCTATAACTTGGACCTGCATGCGCGGTTGCTTGGCATCTTGGTTACAAATATTTCTGTTTGGGTTTTTCAGAACGACGAGCTTCGAAACCTCTCCCTCTCTGGCCATGTGGGCTTTGATAGTCTTCCAGATCAGCTGGTCAACAAATCCACCTCGCAAGGGTTCTGCTTCAACATTCTTTGTGTCGGTAAGCGATGCTGCGCGGCTAAACAAATTGGCTTTTCACATCAAGACAGCCGTGACAAGAAAATTAATAATTTAAACAGAGGCTGGGGGGTGTGTGTCTGAGAGAGAGTAAATTAAAATCCAAAAACAAAATCCTCCCTTCCATTCGATAAACCAATAGGTTGAGTGTTCTAAAAGGCACTGTTTTTAATCAATTTTTCCATTTGTAATTCAGTTATTTCCTAAAGAAATGTGAATTTGCACTGGGTGCATAATTAAAACAAGTTGATTTACAACTAAATAGTCTTTACGCTAGCAGTGGTAGGTCCTTTTCTTACCTGGGTGGGTATGGCTGTCACTATATACATTTCTTTAAGTAAATTTATAGCTTTAATATTGTCTGATTCTTTCTTGAACGTGTTAGCATGATAGAAAATAGTGAGTGCTATATATTGCTTATTCACTAGCTAATTAACTTTTTGCTCATGATTTGTGTCAAGCTGTGTTAAGATGGTAATTGGAATTGAATTAAACACACAAACCAGCATTTATTTTTTGTGTTTGAAGAGATTATAATATGGTTAGGCCTTAATATATTTTGTATTAAATGCAGATTTAATTTTAAACAAGTTTATTTTTTAAACAATAAATTTAAATAATTAAAAATTGATTTTCCCACCTCATTCTTCTCCCCGATAGTTGATTTTTATTCACCTGAAGGAAACTAGTAGCATTTTCCCCTTTTTTCCTTTTAGAAACATTATTATTCACTAGCAGAATTACTTGGTGTTACTTGGGTCCTTCAGAAGAGGCGGCTGGCAGTGTGGGGGTAAAGGAACTGGTGGGGGGGAGGGGAGGATTTCAGGGAACAGGGTGAGGTCAGGCTGGCTTGTCCCCGAGATAAGTGGCTTGTCTCTGGGTTGGCCCTGGCTGCTGGGTTCTCTCTGGGTCCAGCCCATATAGGCTGGAGCAGCAATGTGGCTAGCAGCTGCTCCTTGAGGCTGGTTGGCGGGGTGGGTGCTGCCAGCCAGCGACTGCTTGCTTGGGACTTGCTGCCGCCCTGTGGTCATGGGTGAGTATAACTGTGTCTGCTCTCACACCCCTTCTTTTCTGTTTGATATGAAACAGTCACATTCCAGGCACATCCCACTGTCCTGGAGGACCAACCCCTGATAAGTTAGGATAAGAGGAAACTGCCTACCAAATTTGATGGCCCTTGAACGTCTGGTTTAGGAGAAGTTCTTAAGCCAACGGACTCATGAACATTTAGACAGATGCACATTTCTAAAATATATACAGTAAACTTCCGATAATCCGTCACCTTTAGGACCCAGGGGGTGCTGGATTATCAGATATGCCGGACTATCGGAAGGGGGGGGCCCCAGACCCCT